ACTGTCAGGGCGTAGTGAGTCAAATGAACTAAAAATTTAACCGAATTACACTCCAACTCTGTGAGAATAAACCTGGAAGGGCCTGGCATAATGGTTCACGCTTGTAATCCCAGCACTTTGGGAGGCCAAGGTGGGTGGATCACCTGAGCTCAAGAGTTGGAGACCAGCCTGGCCAACATGGCAAAACCCCTATTATGTTAATATTAAATATAATATTAAATTATAGTAACATTAAATATATGATTGCATTAATATTAATATATTATGTTAATATTAAATATATCTATAGGATATATAACATTATGTTTAATATGATATTATATTTAATATAGAGACAATAATAATGATGTCTCAGAAGTTTCCCAATATTATATGACTCAAACCTGAAGGAGCCAAAACTGTAATTTATTGTTTCTGACTGTACAGCCTGTGCTTTTTACTTCATAATCTTTGTTTCTAAAAACTAGGTTGATGAGAGTTGAGAGGGAAGTTTTCAGCAGGTAAAGGATCTAAAATCTTTTATCAGTTGTGATTAGCTTTGGCTACAAATGGCACATAAAGTAAAATCTTCTTGAGCAAGATGATTTTTCCTTTCTTATGTATGGCTTACATTCTCAAGGTCCAGTATGGCTGCTAGAGCTTGGCCATTGCATCTATATTCCAGGCAGCCAGAATGAGAAATGGAACAAGAATTATAGAAAAACAAAAAGCAAAACTTTCCAACATAGCATATGCACAGTGAACCTGCTGGTAACTTGATCTTGGACTTCCCCTATCTTTTCTAGTCACATTGTCCATTGTTGTTGTCACCTGGCAGGTGCCGAGGTGGTCAGAGACCCTTGGTGAATATGGTATATGATGTTTGGGGTTACCATTTTGGAAATGCGTGAACCATTTATTTGCCCAGGCCTTCCTGGTTTATTCTCACAAGTTGGAGTGTAATTCGGTTAATTAGAGTCCTAAACCAATAAAATTCATTGAGTGTAAAATGGTGAAAATATAAAAGAAAAACATGAAAGTTTTGGCTTGCTAAATATATTTTACCAGTATATTTAAGTTCAAACTAGAAAATTGGCAAATTTGAGGAGAACCATAGTGGGAAAGAGAGGTACAGAAACTGTAAATAGTTCTACTTTGGGCATTTTGGATAAATATCTAGTGGATTAAGTTAGCTGTTACCAATAAGAGCTTTCTTCTTTTTCTTTTCTTCTTCTTAGGTATAAAATACCCCATTTTTAGCATGGAACAGTCGCCCCAAAGTAAATGTTCGTCCACCTTTCTTATAGCTAGATGTGGCCAAGTGATTGACATTTGGCTAATTGGATATTAGTAGATTTA